CACAGGGCTGAGGGACCTCTTCTCAACCCCCATGTGACAGTGGTGAGCCAATTACCAAGTGATGTGAGTCACATGTTCCTCCATTCCTGGATGGGGTTACGGAGGAGCAAAGGAAAGGTGAGTATGTCCTATCAAGAAGGGGAGGTACTAAAGTGAATTCGAATATGAAAGTCTTGCTTCCATATGCAGCTGATGGCTCCTTCTCTTTGTAAAATCCATAGGATTAAAAAGTGAAATATCCAAAAATGTATATACTGAATTTATATACGTGAACATTCACCCTGTGTTTATTACATTTATGAAAAATATATATCAAAGCGCTAAAGGTATAACTAATATGAATTTATTTATTACATTTATGTAGTCCTCATAAAATCCAAAGGACTTTACAACATATGTCGTCCACTCCAGTCCCTGTCGTGGGGTACCTTACAGTGTAAAGAATAGGTCTATGTTGAACTTTAAAAACACCCTCACTCCAAGCCCTCTGGAACATGTTTCAGTAAAAACATCACCTTCTGATGCACAAAACAATGCACGCTGTCCTGGAGGTCAGTGAACAGGTTTCCATAGAAATGCAATCGCTGGATGCCTCCTCTTCAACTTTGCACTTGACCCCAGACCCATTGGCTGTAATTGAATCTTGTCACCCTGAGGCAAGGTACATGGGTGAAGTTGATGAGGTCTTCAGTTATCATGTTTCTCTGGAAACCCAAGTGTTGACTTCCAGGAAATCATACCACGGCTTCTGCATTGGAAGATGAGTATTTGTAATTAAATCAAGTTACAGAGGGCCTGGAGAGAGGATATTTATTTTTAAGACTGGTCATAGACGTATCCTTTAATGCTGCTACCACAATCAAACATACACCCCAGGGTACAAAGGGGATGTAAAGAATTTACTGTAATGGGGGCCAAATTTCACAAATTTGTGCTCTAACTTTTCTTTTATGATGTTCAAAACAATAACTCATGAGCTTGTCAATGCATTGGACCTTCAAAAATTGGAAAAAGTCCAGAAGCTTTACAAAACCACTTTTGGTGGCTGCCACTAACCATTGCTAAATATGCCTCCGTGTCTCTACTTAACAATTGCTCGGTGAATTCAATTCCTGTTGTGCTGGTTTTAATATGATATGAAAATGATATATATTAAGCTGCATCTCGAAGAAAGGCAACATTCTGAGATCCCTGGATACAGAGGTGGACAAGGCAGAACACAGGATGTAACAGAATGCTGAGACATCTGTCTGAGGAGCAGGAAGGGATATATCAAGTCTCCAAGCAGCTAACCCAACCATCCGCTGGTGCTCAGTGGAAGCACATAGGGACTATTTCCAAGGCACAGTGCCACCAGCAGGTGGACTGGGGTAACATTGTGTTTCTGACTCATGTTTCTGCTGGACCCTGCTAGGAAAACATAAAAAAAATATCTATTGGACTTTAAAGGTGTCAATAAATATCACAATGTCTATCAATAAAATGTTGTATTTCAAGCCTATCTACAGTTAAAAAAAAAGAAAAAGTTAACCACTGCAAGGGTTAACTGCTTGTTTTTGTCTAGGGGACCTTTATAAAGCACTTTTACTTACCTGATCCCTGCTCTAGCGTTCGGGGCCTTGCAAAGTGATGTGATGACATCAGCGGGCATCCGACTGCTGGAGCAGAGGGCGAAAGAGGCTGAGGGTGCTGATCTTGGAATTGGCTAGAGTCAATTCATCTACTAGCCCTGTATTATATGTGATTAATTGGCCAGGTTGTGGAAGGATAGTCCATGAGCTGAAGCAGAGGGGGAGAGGGGAGCGGCAACTGCTGGAAGCAGGGATCGGGTAAGTGAAGTATCAGGTAAGTAAAAGTGACTTACACCATAACTAGACAAAAAACAAAAAGTAAATCCTTGCAGTGCATGGGGTAGCCCCAGTAGAATTTTCTTTTACCAAGAGATGGGTAATAATAGAAAATATAAAGTCATGTTAAAAAGATATGTGTATTCTGTATATATGAATGTTTGATATATTGTGATATAATGGAATTGCATATACTACTACTGGGTTGGCCTATAAGGTACCTTATCCATATATATCCATAATTGCATAGGGAATACTTTTTAGATACCTTGTCAAGACCTTAAATAGTTTAACAAAGTTTGTTGATAACCAATTAAACAATAAATCCAAGTTTTTACATATGGATCCACATATCATAGACTCCAACTGAATATCCCCATCTATTACCCATTAGGTATTAATCCATAGCTGCATTTACCAAAAAGTATCTTTAGAACAAATATCATATATATGCATACAATTAGAGCTTGTAGATTTTGCCAGAGTTTGACTGCTAAAATATTCCCTTGTCAATTGCAGGGACAAAAACAAAAGAGGGCCCCAGGCGCCACCGCAGACTCTTGCAGTAGTAAAGTAATATGCACATATAATTCCTAATATTGGTAAAGATTTGCTATTTTACCTATTAATCTTAAAGCAATTGGATCCTTACTGCATCCAAATTAACACTACTCTGGGATCTTGAATTCTAAAGAAAAGGAACTAGAATATAAAAATGTTATTTTTTATTAAATAAAATAGTATTTAATTGAAAGATATTTTAATATTTATTGGCACCTCTAAAGTTTCAACTCTTTAGTCATTTTTCAATTTACCTGCTATGAAAACAGGTGATTGATTGGGGTTCTCTTTGAGCTTTAAACACTAAGCTTCAGAGGGGTGTGTAGACAGGTTCTCCAGCTTTCCTGAAGTTAAAAAACGTCATCAACTATTTTAGGGTTTTGGTTTGGGATTGGGTTCATCGGTGCTGGAAAATTCACAGAAATGAATGCCAGTAGTGTTGTCAGGAGTGGATGAGGAATAGAATAACAGAGACAAAAGAGGCATCTGTCTCATTAGGTCATACAATTAAAAAAATGATTTTCAAGTGTTCCACTCAATGATTCAAATTTGCATCCAGCTGTTGCTGTAATCTAGCAGTCCACCACACTTCCTGTGTCGGTAACATGGTAAACTGAGATCCCCTCCTCGTGAAATAGTAGATGAATTCTCAAACACATGATCTTCAGACTTGTTGTTGTCTCTCCCATAAAGGAAGCCAGAAGTAAAAGAAATGTCACAACTTTCTTATAGAAATGTTATGTTAAGGCTGTTACAAGGAATAAGAGTGAGAGAGGAAGCTACTTATCAGATGCTTCAGGAAGTACACTCTAAGTGGCATACATGGTGGTTGGTTGCCTGTACATTGCACCTTTACATCTAAATGTTGGGCCATACTGATCAGGCAAGGCTCACACATGTCCTGATAGCAAAAGAGCTTGCTGCCCCATCTACATTCTGACATTTTGTGATTTGTCATTTGGACAGCTCATCAAAGTAATGACCCAATAGGAATGCATGGAGGGTGCAACAGAGCAGGCAACTCATAGTAGAGCTTTGAGCAGTCAGAAGAACCTTGGGGCCATCGGGGGGGTTGTGCAATGAAAGCTGTGGGTTCCAAGCATTATTTTTTTATGTGTCACAGTTCTTTTATTTAAAATGTTTGATTGCAATACAAAACAGGATCTCAGTTTTTACTGCAACAAAACAGGTACCGTACTTAACTTACTTAAGATACAAGTTAAAATGGACCATGATGTACATAAAACAGCTATACTAAGTGATTCCCTTACTAAGTACATAAGTACATAATGCATACTCACTCTGGATAACAAATTATTCAAATGTTCATTTATCTTTACTAAATATAGGAAAACGTTATGAGAGTTACACATTCCAATTAAAAAAATGTAAAACAAGTAAAATTGCAACATTAATCGGGAACCCCAAATGCCTGTATCTACCTTTTAATAACTTCTTGCATCTTAGAGAGACCCAGGTGCTCTGATGTGTCAATATTGACTTTGGAAAGCAGAGTTGAGAACAGGACGCTCTCATCCTTCTATAGCTGCAACATGTGGACATTCTAATGCTGTAAAAATACCTCTACTGAGAGAAATATGGGGGCTGTCAATGCTAACCTCTTCTTTTAATAAAGCTAGTTTTCTGGCTGTTGTGCTAAAGCAAAGGTTTTATTACTTCCTGAGTCATTGGCCCAGAACAAGGATGTAGATCAGGAGCTCTGAATCCACCTACTACATGTTTGTATTTGGTCAGTGATTTAGAAGGTAGCCAGAAAACTATCATTTTCAGATGAAGGTCAACAATGGCAGTCCTCCATCTTTCTCTTGATACAGGTTTAATATTCAAGCGGAGGCAAAAATCACAATCTTAGGCCCTCAGTTTTATGGCACAATCATTTGCGCATTCGCAGATAATCAGGGCATTAGATTTATAGCTTCAAGTAACCGCTCCCTGATTAAGATATACATACCAATTGTGTAAAGCTGCCCATACACCTTACAATCATCGTACGACTTTTGTTGTGCAATGGTTGTAAGGTAATTATTATTTTGTACGATCTGCCCATCTTGGACAGGCAGATTGTACTTGTGATCATCGCAAGCCCTCACCGCTGAGGGGAGGGCTTGCGATGATTGCAGTGCTGAGCCAGCAGTGTGCGGCCTGTGCGGCATTTGTCTCCCCAGCACGCAACTAACCCGCTAAAAATCGGAAGATTTTTGACAGGTTTTCAAGCCTGCTAGGAAGACGAATGTCGTGCGGCCTTACAGTAGAAGAGGTTGCATGCTGCCCATACACCTGCCGATTATCGTACGATTGCGGGATCACCCGCGATTATCGTACGATAATCGCCAGGTGTATGGGCACCTTTAGACTTTATTGTTTTCTTTATAAAAATATGTTATTCGTTTTTCCCCCAGCTTTCTGTGGAAGAACAAATCCAAGTCTTAAAAAATTATCCAAAACCATTGAGAAAGCTTTTTCACATCTAAATGGCATTTCCTGCTCTTTTTATCAATTGTTCTTGATGTAGTTTGTTTGCCCGCTCATTTATCACATTGCTTTGCTTTCTGTCTCTGCCTTTCTGTACAGGTCTTGCGGTCCACCAGATAATCACCATCACTGTCTCCCTAATCATGGTCATTGCAGCATTGATAACAACTCTCGTCCTGAAAAATTGGTAAGGATCACTCCTAATCCTTTTATACCTGATCAGTTTTATGACACTTTACAACATGGAAGTTGTTACTACTTTTTATGTCATTTTATAGAATGATATGTGGTTTATGAATGGTAGAAACCGAGGGTTCAAATAAGTTGTTGTTGCAGAGAAGAGAGTGTGGTTGTCAGGGGGTCAATGCACAGTCCCATTTTCTTCAGGCTTGGTCATATCATTTTGTTATATTTTTTAATTGGGCGGGAAAAGGTTATACCATTTTTTAGGTTTTCATTGCTGTTTATAACTCAGTTGGGGAGATTTCCCATAGTTGTGTGTCTTAGTGAAACCCTTGTGAAACATGGACAAGAGATGAGAAGAGCAGAGGTCATAGAAAGGCACCTACAGCAGAAAAACATTGACAACGCTTCTAAAATTTCCTCACTGTGCTAAAAAAGTGTATTTTTATTAGACATGTTAGCTGCCAAAAAGTTTGTTTTGTTTTGTTTCGGATTTTTCGCTCCTTCGATTTTTGGGTTTTGGGTCCGAATGCCGTTTCATTATTCGGATCTTTTGGAATTACATTTTTCCGTTTCAGACAAGGTTTTCTCTTTTCTGATTGGTCAAAAAACAGTCACGTGTTCGATTTAGTTACATTTTGAGCGAAATTAAGATGATCTGAAATTTTGTTAAAGGAACATTCAAAATTGATTGCATTCAGCCTCATTGGAATTTCGACATTCGGATGCATCGAAATCTGCATTCAGAATGAAAAGAAATGTCTTACATGTCTTATTTTCATTCCCATGTATTATCCATGTCCCCATTTCAGAGATTTCCTACCAGTTTCTGTCCCTCCCTGACTCCTTGTCACTGTGAGGAAATCCCCCAAATGGGGACGTAGTTGCAATAAATAGTTTACAGAGGATCTTACCCTTTGTATAGATTATATTGCTTATATAGATTATACCGTATAGGTTATACGGTGGCTACTTATGCCGTGGCTGGCTCTGCACAGTTGTTATTCATTGGCCGGGACCTGCTAGAAGACTCTAGCAGGTCCCC